CTAACTGACCTAATCTTATCTAATTTAACGTTACCTAATCCCTATATAGTCTAACTGGTAAATAATGATCTAACCTAATTTACCGTAACCCAACCAAACTTAATGTAATCTAACCTAATTTTACCGTAAACCAACCAAACTTAACGTAATCTAACCTAATTTACCGTAACTCAACCAAACTTAACGTAATCTAACCCAATTTACCGTAACCTAAACCAAACTTAACGTAATCTAACCTAATTTGCCGTAACCTAACCAAACTTAACGTAATCTAACCTAATTTACCGTAACCTAACCAAACTTAACGTAATCTAACCTAATTTACCGTAACCTAACCAAACTTAATGTAATCTAACCTAACCTAACCAAAGCCTAACCTAACCATTATGTTAAGGATTTGAAGAAGTGTTGTGGATATTTTTACTTGTTGTCTTAGCACTTAACTGTTACTTTCTACGCTTGTCTTGACTTTACATCTTGAGTACAATGACTTAATCCCTTGAGTACGATGACTTAACCCTTTGAGTACGATGTCTTAGTTCCTAGAGTACGATGACTTAACCCCTTGAGTACGATGTTTAGCCTAGAGTACGATGTTTTAGTTCCTAGAGTACGATGACTTAACCCCTTGAGTACGATGTTTTAGTTCCTAGAGTAATGACTAACCTTTATTACGATGTCTTAGTTCCTAGTAGATGACTTAACCCTGAGTACGATGTTTTAGTTCCTAGAGTACGATGACTTAACCCCTTGAGTACGATGTCTTAGTTCCTAGAGTACGATGACTTAACCCTTGATGAAGTTCCTTGAGTACGATGACTTAACCCTTGAGTACGATGTCTGTTCTGAGTACGATGACTTAACCCTTGAGTACGATGTCTTAGTTCCTAGAGCATGACTTAACCCCTGGTACGATTTTTCCAGAAGATGACTTAACCCTGAGTACGATGTTTTAGTTCCTTGAGTACGATGTCTCCTAGAGTACGATGAAACCCTTGAGTACGATGTCTTAGTTCCTAGAGTACGATGTCTTAACCCCTTGAGTACGATGTTTTAGTTCCTTGAGTACGATGTCTTAGTTCCTAGAGTACGATGACCTATTCCATTGGGTACACTATCATCGTCATGTGGTTAAATCATCACCTGGGCAAGTTAAGCTATAACCATTGAGACAGACAGACAGACAGACAGACAGACAGACACAATTAGCTTTGGGGGCCAGATGTACTAGGAATGACGACCAATGATGTGCTCTGTGGAGTGTATTGAAGTGAGTGCGTTGAAGTAAGTGTGTTGAGGTGGGTGCGCTGAGGTGAGTGTTTTGAAGTGAGTATGTTGAAATGAGTGTGTCCAGACGAGTTTATTGAGGTGAATGATTAGATATCAGTGTGGTGAAATAAAAACGTAGAGATCCGTACTGGGTGAGTAATGTTGGAAGTGAGTGCGTTATCATCCATGAGTGAGTGAGTGATTGGACAGAGGACACCCATTCACCAACACGGTCACCATAACACAAATTGGTCTCCTGGTGAAAGCTTCTCTGTATTAATATTAGTGAGCCCCTAATTCCCCCACCCCCGACACCGAGAGGGACTACTACTAATAATTGTTACTACTACTATTTGTACTACTATGGGAACTACAGCACTTGTACACAACCCCTACGACAACAATAAAAATATTACAACAACATCAACTAACAACAATAACTATCACCACCACTACCACCTACAACAAAAAACTAACAACAACAACAACTATCACCACCACTACCACCTACAACAAAAACTAACAACAACAACTATCACCACCACTACCACCTACAACAAAACAACAACAACAACTATCACCACCACAACACCTGGAGGGTCTTAGGAGCATCTGAACAGAACGTGACCAAACTTAACTAAGATATACCTGGGTGACGATCTCTCCATGTTTGTTTGTTGACTTAAGTGTGTGTGTGGGGGGTGGAGGGAGGGGGGAGGGGAGGGGGAGGAGGGGGAGTTAGGGGAAGAGGAGAAGGATAAGGACAAGTACATAGGAAATGGTGTACAATGCGTGGCGACAGTGACCATGACCACACACACATGACTCACACACACACAGACAGACACACACACACACACACACACACACACAGACACACACACATCAATTAATTTGTGCATGTGCGTACGTATGTGTGTATATATGTATGTACCTGTATATTATGAATCTCATTATGTTCTCATGTGGTGTAAGAGAGAGAGAGAGAGAGAGAGAGAGAGAGAGAGAGAAGCAAAGCTATCTTGAGCGTAACTTTAATCAACTGAGTTAGACTAGACAGGTAAGAAGCAGGTGAAAATTTGTACCTCTGAAAGTGTATAGTGCAGGTGGTGTATGTGTGGTGATGTATATGTGTGTGGGGTGGTGTGTGTGTCAGGTGGTGTATGTGTGTGGGGTGGTGTATGTGTAGTGTCAGGTGATGTTTGTGTAGTGTGAGTGGTGTATGTGTAGTGTCAGGTGGTGTATATGTGTGGTGGTGGTGTATTGTAGTGTCAGGTGGTATATATGTGTAGTGTCAGGTGGTGTATATGTAGTGTCAGGTGGTGTATATGTGTAGTGTCAGGTGGTGTATATGTGTAGTGTCAGGTGGTGTATGTGTGAGGTGGTGTATATGTGTAGTGTGGTGGTGTATATGTGTGGGTGGTGTGTGTGTAGTGTGGTGGTGTATGTGTAGTAGGTGGTGTGTAGAGTGTCAGGTGGTGTATATGTGTAGTGTCAGGTGGTGTATGTGTAGTGTCAGGTGGTGTATATGTGTAGTGTCAGGTGGGTGTATATGTGTAGTGTCAGGTGGTGTATATGTGTAGTGTCAGGTGGTGTATATGTGTAGTGTCAGGTGGTGTATATGTGTGTGTCAGGTGGTGTATATGTGTAGTGTGAGGTGGTGTGTATGTGTAGTGTGAGGTGGTGTGTGTAGTGTGAGGTGTGTATATGTGTAGTGTGGGGTGGTGTGTGTGGTGTGAGGTGGTGTATATGTGTGGTGTGAGGTGGTGTATGTGTAGTGTGAGGTGGTATATATGTGTGGTGTCAGGTGGTGTATGTGTAGTGTCAGGTGGTGTATATGTGTAGTGACAGGTGGTGTATATGTGTAGTGTCAGGTGGTGTATGTGTAGTGTGAGGTGGTGTATGTGTAGTGTGGGGTGGTGTATGTGTAGTGTGAGGTGGTGTATGTGTAGTGTGAGGTGGTGTATGTGTAGTGTGAGGTGGTGTATATGTGTGGTGTGGTGGTGTATGTGTAGTGTGGTGTGGTGTTGGTGAGGTGGTATATATGTGTAGTGTCAGGTGGTGTATATGTGTAGTGTCAGGTGGTGTATATGTGTAGTGACAGGTGTGGTGTATATGTGTGTGACAGGTGGTGTATATGTGTAGTGTCAGGTGGTGTATGTGTAGTGTGAGGTGGTGTATGTGTAGTGTGAGGGTGGTGTATGTGTAGTGTGAGGTGGTGTATGTGTGGTGTGAGGTGGTGTATGTGCAGTGTGAGGTGGTGTATGTGTAGTGTCAGGTGGTGTATACAATAATAGGACTTGTAGACATTAATGCACTGGTAGACACGTCATTAAAATATTATATAAATATTTGTATATGACTCTACCTTCTGTGGCTGACAGAGCACCTTCTCTCTCTCTCTTCCTTCCTTACGACACCTAACCAACCAGAGGTCCAACTTGACGTCTGGTCCATCTGAGTTCCTCCTTGACGCCTGGCCAATCTAAGGTCCACCTTGACGCCTGGCCAATCTAAGGTCCTGCTTAACGTCTGGCCGGCCCCACATATCTCTCATCACAGCCTGGGATGATGATCAGTAAGGGGGTGAGGAGATGACGATACATTATCTTTGCTTAACCTCAAAACATGGCTCCCTCCTCCTCCTCCTCTCTTGCTTTTCTTGTTTTCCTCCTCCTCCTCCTTTCCTTGCTCCCTGTTCCTTCTCATCTTCTCTTTGCTGTTGCTGTTGTTACTCCTCATCCTTCCTTTGTTTCTCCTCCTCTTCCTGTTCATCATCCTTCCTCTGTTTCTCCTCTCCTACTCTTTCCTCCTCCTTCCTTGCTCCCGCTCTTCCTCTTCTTCCAAAGATGATGGCGAATGAAAAAAAGACGCGAGAAAAGAAAGTGTGCTGAAGGTTAGGTCGAGGATCTGTTGATGCTGCTGCAGGATTCTCGGCCGTGTGGTGGCCGGGTGGGAGGGCTGGCCGGCCGACATCCTTGGCTCGGCGTGAGTGGAGCTTTTCTGACCAGGATCAAAGCGCGCGCCCGTTGTTAGTATTCGTCAGGCGGTCGCCCCAAGTCATGACTCCTGTTGGCCCGCGCACGCACACACACACCTCCTCCACTCCTACCCTCATGTATAATGCCTTAATGTACTAATATATATCCTACTTCTCCCGCCTCCGGTTTGCCTCACACACACGCAAGCACGTCAGGTCTCTACCCGGTTCCTCCCTGTCTGGTGGTGTGATGAGCGGCGTCTCCTAGTGGCCACTCCTGGTGACTTCATCAACTCCGGGAGTGACAGTGTGGTGAAGGCTTCGTCACCATCACCACCACGGCGCCTCCACACCACAGGGGGCGGGGGAAAGGAGGTGACGTGTACCCTCACATAATGAACACACGCACGCGCACGTACAGACGAACAAGACAGACACATAGACACACACACAGAGGGTGAACACCACGCCAGTCCCTCAGCGGCGGCGTCGTCTGGTTCGGCCAGTTGTGATGTTGACAACCGAAGTAATTTATCAACTGACAAATATTCTTGACCCTATGACCACCCCAATGACCTCCTTCCTCCCCCTCCCCTGTGGCTGCACGAGGTGTCAGATTAATTAATAAAATCATGACAGATGCCTTCACCCCTTCCTCCCTAGGTCGTAAAATCTAAATTATCTTTTATAATTTCTCGGAATGACGTCATTGATCAGCTGTATGATGTAAACAATAAGGTGTAAGTCTTACCTTATGTTATATTTCGTTGTCTTGTTCCGTGACGTTTAGGTCAAAGTTTAAGTAGTGGACGGATTGCTGCAAGAAAGGAAATAGCATAAGTACTGTAATTTAAAAAAAATTATGTATAATAATAATAATAATAATAATAATAATAATAATAATAATAATAATAATATTATAATTTTTTTTTATTAGGCATTCCCCCCCCCCTACATCCTTGAATTTTAGTTGAATTGTAACAGTTTATTTAGCCAGAAAAACACAGATACAGAGTGGATAATAATAACAATATTAACATGGCTGAGCCAGTTGAGAACCTGAGCTCTCTTTGAGGCACCTGATATATACTATACATTTATCTCAAGGAAGTATTATGTAACTTTTAGTATCATCTGGAATAGTACAATAGCATGGTGGTAATAAGAACATCTCACAGTGTTACCACGGTTATCACTTCAATATTTATTTAATTTATTATTTATTATTTTATTTATTTTATTTATTTATTCATTTTTTATTTATTTTATTTATTTATACATACATGTGTAAGGTGAAGCGCAGAAGCGTTTACAGTGCCCAACAGGGGTGCATGCTAAGTTCATAATTCACTCGAGCAAGGCAACGTCTCACGCCCTGTGGTGCCATTATCAAAGCTTTGACCTCCTGACCTCTGTTCTTATCCTCTAATCCTGACCTGACCTCTACCCACTGACCTTGTCCTCTAACCTTGACCTCCTGACCTTGACATTTATCCATTGACTGCATCACCTTGACCTCTGACCTTTACCCACTGACCTTCACCTCTACACCCTGACCACATCACCTTGACCTTTGACCTCCAACAAAAACATATAACAGCTCCAGGTAACGTCTGTGTTGTCTTAATAACAGTAACTCTTACATTGAGAGAGAGAGAGAGAGAGAGAGAGAGAGAGAGAGAGAGAGAGAGAGAGAGAGAGAGAGAGAGAGAGAGAGAGTTACCTCCTCCCTCCTCCCTTACTCTCCCTTATATGCTTATCTCCCTGGCGCCTAATTCTCCTTTAGTCTGGCCTCGACTATTAACCCAGGCAATGTTCAATTTGTTAAGATCAGGTTAATGTTAATTTATCGTCAGGTTAATTTTGTTAATGCTCCCTCACTGAGATATTAACCCAGATAATGTTAAATTATCCTTTACACAGAACTAATTAACTAACCATTGTTAAATTCCCGTCATCAAGGTACAGGTGTTGTGGTAGATGTGTTACGGTACAGGTATTATGTTACGGAACAGGTGTTGTGGCACAGGTGATACAGGTGTTGTGGTATAGATGTTACGGTACTGATGCTGTGTGGTACAGATGTTACGGTACATGTGTTGTGGTACAAGTGTTGAGGTACAAGTGTTGTGGTACAGGTGTTGTGGTACAGGTATTGTGGTACAGGTGTTGTGGTACAGGTGTTGGGTACAGGTGTTGTGGTACAAGTGCTGTGGTACAGGTGTTGTGGTACAGGTGTTGTGGTACAGGTGTTGTGGGTACAGGTGTTGTGGTACAGGTGTTGTGGCAGGTGTTGTGGTACAGGTGTTGTGGTACAGGTGTTGTGGGTACAGGTGTTGTGGTACAGGTGTTGTTGTACAGGTGTTGTGGTACAGGTGTTGTGGTACATCTGTTGTGGTACAGGTGTTGTGGTACATCTGTTGTGGTACAGGTGTTGTGGTACAGGTGTTGTGGTACAGGTGTTGTGGTACAGGTGTTGTGGTACATCTGTTGTGGTACAGGTGTTGTGGTACAGGTGTTGTGGTACAGGGCTTACGGTACAGGTGAACGGTGTCAATGTGTTGCTCAACTCGGCACTTGTATTACCATTTACCTTTAATGTCCACTAATTAACACACTTTCTCATTTAGTAATATCAGGTGTTTTCATTAATTGTTTCAGTGATACAACTTGACCTAATTAAACCTACGTCCACCTTAGCTCACCTTGACGAAACTAACTACGACACACACACACACACACACACACACACACACGCAAGCACACACACACACGATTTTACCCAATATAATTCGTGAGTGCTAAGTTAGGTTGAGTTAAGTTAGGTTGAGTTAACTTAGGTTGAGTTAGGTTAGGTTAAGTTAGGTTAGACTAGCTTGGTTTAGTTTGGTTTGGTTTGGGTTTAAGTTAAGTTAGGTCAGTTTAGGTTGGGTTTAAGTTAGGTTGGGTTTAAGTTAGGTTGGGTTTAAGTTAGGTTAGGTTGGGTTAGGTTGGGTTTAAGTTAGGTTAGGTTGGGTTTAAGTTAGGTTGGGTTTAAGTTAGGTTACGTTGGGTTACGTTGGGTTTAAGTTAGGTTAGGCTGGGTTGGGTTAGTTTAAATTAAGTTGGGTATAAAGGAGGAGTATTAGAAGGCTGGGCAGGTGTCGCTAATAACTTCACCTGTACTGTGTTATTTTCTTGTGAGTGGAGCAACTTATAACCAGAGCAACATCACAATTATCTTATTAAAGCGAGTTTGGTGAGAGAGTGTGTGTGTGTGTGTGTTATCCTGGTGTAACAAGTCTCACTATCAAAACTACCACCACAACACAACAACAACCACCAACTACCACTATCACCACCTCCACAAAAACTACGACCACCATCACAACTACTACCACCACTATCACAACTACTACCACCACCACTACAACTACTACCACCACCACTACAACTACTACCACCACCACCACCACCACAAAAACCACAACCACCATCACCACCTGCTTTCCAAATCTATGAGCCATCAAAGGTTATTGACCTAAAATTAACCTAAACCGAAGTGAAATTGTCCTAAACAATTTAACCTAACCTAATTTAACTTACACCAAGACCGCGGATTTAAGTGTGAACATTCGGGTCTTGCTGGTTGGGCTGAAGCTTCATCCCCGCCCCGCCCCACCCAGTCCCGCCCCGCCCAGCCCCGCCCCGCCTCTACAATTAAGACCCGCTGAGAAACGACTACATAAGCAGTGGGCAGACGCAGAAATAAACTCTTTTAATAGTGTGTTGTTCACAAGTGTTTCTGGACTCATTAGGTCATTAAGCTAGACAATAACTATTACTAATAGGGAATAAAAGGCTTTCGAAGTTACCTGTAGATTAGCAGCCTCATCATAACTGGTTGATTAAACACCTTAACTCTACCTGAGAGAGGGGTACGCTATGTTAGATGATGTTACCTTTAGGTTAGGTTAGGTTAGGTTAGGTTAGGTTAGGTTAGCGATAGTTTAGCGTTAAGCCAGGTTAGATTAGGTTACGTTTGCGTAGTTAATTTATGGTGAAATAGTCTGCAGCTAATCTTCAGGATATCGAAAAATTCATTGTATTTCTCAGTAGCAAATGAAATCTGTGTGAGGTGGAGTATGACCTTCACTCCCCAGGTGAGGTGGAGTATGACCTTCCTTCCCCAAGTGAGGTGGAGTATGACCTTCCTTCCCCAAGTGAGGTGGAGTATGACCTTCCTTCCCCAAGTGAGGTGGAGTATGACCTTCCTTCCCCAAGTGAGGTGGAGTATGACCTTCCTTCCCCAGGTGAGGTGGAGTATAACCTTCCTTCCCCAAGTGAGGTGGAGTATGACCTTCACTCCCCAGGTGAGGTGGAGTGCAGCCTTCCCTCCCCAGGTAGTCAGGTAGCAGCCTTCCCGCTGGTGAGGTGGAGTGTAGCCTTCCCTCCCCAGGTGAGGTGGAGTAAGCCTTCCCTCCCCAGGTGAGGTGGAGTATGACCTTCCTTCCCCAGGTGAGGTGGAGTATGACCTTCCTTCCCCAGGTGAGGTGGAGTATGACCTTCCCTCCCCAGGTGAGAGTCATTAATAAGCTCACTATATCTCACAACTTATTATTAAGGACACACTATGGCACGGTGATGCTAGTGTGTGTGTGTGTGTGTGTGTGTGTGTGTGTGTGTGTGTGTGTGTGTGTTTTGAAAAAGACGCAAAACACTATTACAGTAATTATTATAATGCAACTGCAAATCATTATGAAACACTGTAAATCACTATATATCACTATTGATCACCATCGAAACACCATAAATTAATCACCAAAAAACTGAATCAATATAAACTACAATTCACTATACTGCACTGTACATCCACACCATACACTATAGCTCACTAAGCGCAAATACTTCACAATACATTACAGAAAATTCAACATTAAACTATTTACTGTATATCACTAGTTAGTAATCGCTATTGAATATTATAAACACCACAAATCATTATAAAACACTATAATAAAACCATAAAACACCATAAGACACTATAAAACATCTTTAAACACCATAAAACATCATAAAACACTATAAAACATCATAAGACACTATTAAACAACATTAAACACCATAAGACACTATAAAACATCATTAAACACCATAAAGCATCACAAAACAATATAAAACACCATAAGACACTATAAAACAACATTAAACACCATAAAACCTCATAAAACAATATAAAACACCATAAGACACTATAAAACAACATTAAACACCATAAAACATCCTAAAACAATATAAAACATAAGACACCATAAGACACTATAAAATACCATAACACAAAAAAAAACACCATAAGACACTATAAAGCACCTTAAGATCCAATAAATCACCATAAGCTACAATAAATCACCCTAAGCTACAATAAATCACCGTCCAAATATAATGAAACCAAGAGATGTCACTGTAAAGAGTTGTGCGTGTTGGCGAGGTCAATTACCATGACAAAGTGAACTCGGTGACAAACACGTGTTGACAACCTGGGCCGCGTCTTGTAAACACATCGGGAAACACACAGACGCGATAAGCCACGAAGAATGAAGGAGAGACGGTAATAAATATAGTGAGTGGCAAAACAGGGAGTGATATGTTTGACGTCGTACATACACACACACACACACACACACACACACACACACACACACACACACACACACAAACTTTAACATCAAATTAAAACAAAAATAAGTAGGTTAATGTTTAAATTTGATCTTGTATTAGAGAGAGAGAGAGAGAGAGAGAGATGAAAACACCAACACTACAGAGAGATTTATAAGGGTT